GATAGGTGTTAGGGAAACCAATTGCACTATGCATTGGATGGTGACTTAGATGTATACACGTCAGTAGATGGAGCTAGATGGTACAAGGTAGATGGTTTCTATTTGAAGCAAGTGAGACTGTTGAGTGCCTAGTATGTGCCTAGTAGGTGATAGTTTATGGAAGCCATTGAAGGATAAACAATTGGCCGCATAAGGTTTTTATGATTCTTTGACGGTTTTTCTTATTAAAATAGGGGACCTTCAATAGTATGGCAAAGGGGCTCACCCTCATCTTCTAAGTGAGCAAGAGAACCACCCCCCCCCTGACTTTACTCATACTTTATTTACCCTACAGGGCTTCCTCAAACGAATAATAATCCCCACCCCCCGCTCAATTGAATTATTCGAAATTTTTCATCACAGTTCATAAAAAATTACTGAATTAATAAAAAACGAATGTAGAATATTAATTAAGAAAATGGCGTCAAATGATATATTGGTGTTACTTATAAAAACGTGAAGCGAAAAAGCACAACTGCAACAGAAAGAATTGCAAAGAATGTGTGCGATTGCCACAGAACAGAAAAGAACAAAATGAGCTAAAAAAGTGAAAGTAGGCAACAAACCTTAAATAATTTGTGCTAACTAGTTGTATACCGAGACTCTAGTGAACATTGAGTCAGTGTCTTGTCTTTTCCTTCCTACTACATAACAGTCTACTAAGACGTCGGTGTAGCAGCAGCTCCGCTGTACGAGAGTTATAGCTTCCGTGTAGTTTTGAAAGCCATAAACGCTTGTTATTTACAATGTCGCTGTTGGAGCTAATGCTTCTGGTCAGTCTAGGCATTATAAAGTTGAATTTATAATACCTGGCACTTGCTTTTGATTCAACTGTTAGGCATTTTATACTTACGTCACATGCAAGCAGCTTGAATTTGAGATTACCCTATTCCTTTGGCGCTGCGTTTTTAAGAGTGAAAATAAAATTTATTCAAATAGCATTGAAATGCCAGTATTTTTTATCTATTTCACAGCGATCCTATTTACCGAATCAACGCAGTTGACAAAAATAGTCTTTACATCAAGAATGACTTTCACATGCTCTTTACATCGACATTACTGCGCAGTTGCAGTGGATACACTAAGTCAAAGTGGGCGAAAATTGATGATTGAATACACAACCGAATTTCGGAATCGACGTAAATAAATTAAAGAAAGGTTGGCTTAAACCTTAACTGTAATTAAACATTAAATTAGACTTGGCGTCAAGTGAGCGGAATTCCATCGATAACTTTTTGTAACCGAGGAGACTTATTCAGTCACTGAACAAAGGACTTTGAATTTGTTTATCTTAAGAAAAGTTTCACGTTTTTGGTCGCAATAAAGACAATTTATCGATGCTGTGAATGGTATTTCCGCTATTTTCGATACTCCTCATCGATTTGAATTCGCCAATATTGACAGTGATTTCCATACTCCTCATCGATTTGAATTCGCCAATATTGACAGTGATCTTATCTGGCAGAATTGGCAGAATGACGACAGAAGTACAAAATTTAAAGTAAACATTATCGCAGTCTTGACAAGCCAATGCGCGCCGGGGAGAGTATTGTTAGCAAAACGCATGTTGGTTTAAGATTGTGGCCCTTTTTAACAATAACTACAACTCTTTGATGTCTGGTTTAGTCTATAACTGTATCATGTGCACCGCGTCTTAGATCGACCATTAGCCGAACAGAATAATGTGGTATTTTGCTTCTTTAAAGAAAACAGAGTTTTCAGACTTCTGTGTTTCATGGGGGCTTCATTCATGTATCTTTCAAACTTGCAACATAATGATATGCCTTCATTTGTAAGACTTAGGCGCAATGATTTTACCCCTGTATTGTTACTGATACCCGAATAAATAGATGAAAAATAATAGTGTCTATATGTAACCTACCTCAAAAGCCAATGCACGGGATTCAAGGCCACTTAAATTACCCTCCCACTGTCATAAAACTCTTTGTAAAGGCTCTTGAAACACCACTAAAACACATCTGAATTCAAGATTGTAAAAATTACTGAGAAAATGTAATACCTTAATAACAGCGGCCCCATTTTCTCGAGCGAGGACACATCGCAGAGCTGCACGTAATTAATATACCAAAAATAGTCCGTCACTATAGGGTAATTGTCAGGTGTGGGACTTATGCGGACCTTGACCACAACGAATCAGACCGCAAGCCTTTCCATAATGACCCAGCAACTAAGCATTTACCCGCTAATACAAATGCTTTTTTAAAAACTCGATTTGTTAGATACCAGACTTAAGAACGGTAAGCCCGGTCACAGAAGATATCTGATAAAGTTCCGAAGATTTCCAAACGTTGACGAAAATGTCCGAAGATTTTCCGACAACCTCGAGCACTTTCAAAGCTGTTTAAAGTCCCGTGGAAACGGACAAAACATATTTGGCCAACAACTCCCTGCATTTTTGGGAGTTGCTGCATCTGTTTGCATGTAGCAAAAAGTTGACTGGTTTCAAACTCTGCGCAACAACTCGCAACAACATGCAACAGGGTGTGCAAACGGACGCAACATGTAACATCCAAAAATGTCGGGAGTTGTTACGTCGACCAACAATGTTGCGTTCTCTTTGCACGGGGCTGAAAAGGCGACAATTTTAGCGTCCGTTTGCATCTAGCTTTAGTCTTGGGTCAGTGAGATCTCTGCAAGAAGTGATCCCAATAGAGGGATAATCTCCTGATTCTTTTAAAAGCCGTTAATGGCTAAATCAGTCACGCAATTGAAATACATTGTACACTCAACCGAACTTTATCCGTCCGTGATTTAAAAACTGCCAAGGGCTCCCAAAGAGTGAAGCTTCCCAAATACGTCAGAGTTGTCTCAAAAGGTTGTCTCTATGCTTTGAAAGCATATTTGGTTAATTTAGAGCTGCCCCAACAACTATTTCTAAATCTGTTCGAATGTCTGAGGCAAACTTTGGTCGTCTCGGTAGTTTCACGTGGCTTTTTCGTCTCATCCGAAACTCTCATGGGCTCATGGGTCTGGTCGAAGGTTCGAGGAAATGGAGTGGCCGTTCTTTCATTAAAGATTCTAGAAGACGTTTTGTCATTTTCATGCTTAAGTTTTCAGGAAACCCTGTTTTTTTAAACAATAATTGCAGCAATATCTTGGTAATAAAAAGTGAAAAACAAAACCTATACAAAAATCGTTGGTAAGTTAGTACGAAACTCCGAATATCTTAGATGCATAGATTGGTTAAACAGAACTTCTTTAGCCTTTCTCGAGCTTTAGAAATTTCATTCGAAGAGTTATTCTACAGGAAAAAGTAGTTGCGTGCCGAGAGAGTCTTGGGTGCCACTTATAAGTGGTCCCACGCTTCCGGGTTTCACGTTTTATAGTCAAAGTGAAATAGAAACGAAATTCTTCTTGCCATTGGTAAAACGTAATAGACCTCTTTAGATTGTATGTTTTGTTTTCCAAATGACGGTCTTAGGGGAATTTGCCCCTTTGTCTTTTCATAGAGTAAGCGTACATATGCACCAAAATAAGACGAAATTTAAGACACAAGTCAAGTCGAGTTAAGTCAATTTTTATTTAAACTCACACAGAATATTAATTAATACAAGTCAGTGCTTTTAAATATAGAAAAAAAAAAAAAAGATTGTGAAAGAAAAAGAATATCGCATGACCTGCATTGGGGAAAACAAAACAGACAAGCTAAAGAGGTCTTTTTAACCAATAAAAATCATCACAATAATCTAATTTACACAATGTTCCTCTTTCACTTCTTTTTTGGGTACAAATGGAAACTAAAAGACACTGAAATGGACCACCGTTTTGGTACGTTAAGAAATTTGTTACCATGCCGGCTGTCTTGTGAACTAAGACTACGTCTCTCTCCATGAACGTTACATGAACAAATACACACTTATATCCACTGTTTACAGGTAGCCATTACAACACCTGAAGGAGGATCTTGAGGTTATCCCTGTATTGAGATCTAAGGTTGGTCACACTACCGGGTCTACGTCTCCTACTCTTTTCGAACAGCTGTATGGGTTCTTTTACATCATACAAGAACCAGATAAGTCAGAAAGTGCTGTGAGACGGGACCTACGGTTTTTCGTCCTTATCGGAGAAGACTAGAAAGTCTAATCGTTTTCAGATGTCATTACAAAGGTAGCACTTTCTTCTCAGTTATTTAAAGACCCCGAGTGTTGGTCCGGCCGGGGTTTGAACCCGCGACCTCCCGCTCGTCTGACCGGCGCTCTCCCAATTGAGCTAACCAGGCGGCGGTAAAACGCGCACAACCGGGTTAAAGAATACGGCAGGGATGATATAATGACGGATCATTTACCGTGTCTTTTCTCGATGGTGGTTGTGTTAGAGCGTATGGTTGGGTCTATAGAGGTTCTTAGCCTCGGTTCCCAGCGCAAATTTCCAGTAGTGATTCTAACTGCGTTTGGGTAAGGGGGTTCTGTTTTAAACGGCAAAAAAATACCCTCTTTTAATAGTTTAATAGTGTAAACAGAAGTTTGGATAATGAAAAAAACATATACATTTGTTTTCTTATCTTTTCAAATTATCAGTACTGTATTTCGTTCACTCTCATCCAAATACCCAAGCACACCAACCTGTCAGCTAAACGGACCACTCTGTGTAAATTACAGTGACCGCCTTTGCACAGAAAAACACACCGATAGACATACAGTTTTTGGACACTAACTCGCACGTCAAGTTCGGAAATGGACTGAACGGATTAAACTTATCTCCTCCCTCATTTACTGTCAAGTGAAGGTTGGAAACACAGTTATAACGCGTTTCCTTCAAGTTTTCTTTTCGTAGTGTACACTGAGCAAACAAGTTTGTCCCGTTCTTTGACGCTGGTGGATAAACGCTGCTCGGCTCGAATGATCAACAAGACAGAAGTATCAAGAACAACGTCTTCTCAGTATGTTTCAGGAACGATTTCCCCCTCCTGCCGAAGCTCGCTTAATACCGTCTATTTGCTTTCAGTCCAATTCTTCCATATCCCCGAAGTCTTTTCGTTCTTCAGGGACAACTTGAGACTGTTTGTGTAAAGTTGCAGATATGTTTCCTTTCTCTGGGCTCTCATATTTCTCCGAATGCTTAGAATTAAAGGAGGGTAAAAAAGACAACACTTGATCGATGTCACGACGAGCAAGTCCTAGCCGACCAAGTAGAGAGTCGAATTCATTACTCCAAGATTCCATTGCTTGTGATACCAGAGAATTCTTGCGATGTAGTCTGTGAAGACAGTGAATGAACATATCTTCTATCACTACCATGATAATTAAGTACTTACTCAGTTTAAGGTAAGTAGAAACCAGGTCCTTGATCACAGCATTTGCCAAGGGTTCGACCGCTACGATCAGTCAGGTTTATTAAACTGAACAGCTCCTCTGCTCTAGGTGTTCAAAATAATAGTGAGCAATTATTGAATGAGGCTGAGTACGGTGTAAAGAATAATGCAGATCAAGGAAAATATGATCTACCGAGGATAAAGGCCGAGGTGAATAAAATCCTCCGAGATCGATCTGCATAATTTCACATCATACGAAAACCGAATTCCATAATTGTCTCATTATTTATTCAAAATATTTCTAAGTTCTTAAGAAGCCTGACTCTTTGCAGAATTTCTTCAAAACTTTGGCCTATTTCTCGGCACGGTTCAGGATATAATTAATAAAAAAATGATTTTTCTTGTAGATACAGCTTACAAAGTAGACAATGTCCATCCAACAATACATGTATGTTTTGCGTATTATTGCATTTCGTCCGTTCAGTTATAGTAAGAAATTCAGCTATTTCGTCTTCGGATAGCCGTGAACGCCACCACTTTTTTAAGTTCACCCGTGAATAAACAGCTTGGCGGCCGTGCCTGGAAGCGAGGTTGATCGATGGTCTGTTGCCCAAGTTGCCTCGTTTCCAGGCTCAAATACCATCGATCAACCTCGTTTTCAAACAATGTACTATCGAATCAATGGTATATTTCGCACATCTTCCAAATTTTTGCATCACCGGTTGCTTATGAAGAATTGAGCCAATCAAAAACAGCGAAATATTTTGAATGAACAATATTAATAATAAATAATGGTGGACACAAAAAAGTTAGAAGGACAAGCGTTGAATACACTTTCAAAGTAGCTGCAAAGCAAATTACAGGACTTATACTGGGATTTTTTAAGTAAACGGAATATAAATGCAACGGAGAAAACGGCTTTTTACTCACATGACGATCAATGCTAGTGCCAAAATGTTCCACTGTAACGGTTTCAGGGCCACGTTTTTGTTGCTGAAACTTCAGAAAAACACAACTTCAACTTATTTGGCTGTTTTGTCTTCCAATAACCTGAGGACTCTTCCGCTTTCCAGCTCTTAACTACCAAAAGCAGTTGAGCCATGTCAGTACGATTAACGTCAATTATATTGATACTGGAACATCTTTCAAATCTGGCCAACGCTGGCTGGCAAGTTTTAATCTGTGGCACTTCCCCCCCCCCTCCCCCCCCCGTCGATTCTTAATCCGTTGCGTTTTTTCTCACACTTTCAATCGCGTGCATGGATTATACGTTTTTACCGACTGCACGCTTCCATGAAGTTTTCTATGTTTTTAACGGATTGTATGGTTGTTTTCTAGGGCTTCCCTGGGTTGGCAGAAGTTGCTTGATTTTACTTCGCCTGTGCTTGAGACAGTAAAATCTGTGGTGCAGTTTACTCACCTAAACGTACGAACCAGCTGTGTTAGGTCATGTGATACTTCACCCACAGTCAACTTGATTTCACTCAACAGGTCTGGCAGACTGGAGGAATGAAAAAAAAAGCAATACAAAACAAAAAGAGTGCAGCAAACGCAACCAGTAGTATCGTGATGGACAACCATCAATTCTTGGTGGCAGGGNCACTTCCCCCCCCCTCCCCCCCCCGTCGATTCTTAATCCGTTGCGTTTTTTCTCACACTTTCAATCGCGTGCATGGATTATACGTTTTTACCGACTGCACGCTTCCATGAAGTTTTCTATGTTTTTAACGGATTGTATGGTTGTTTTCTAGGGCTTCCCTGGGTTGGCAGAAGTTGCTTGATTTTACTTCGCCTGTGCTTGAGACAGTAAAATCTGTGGTGCAGTTTACTCACCTAAACGTACGAACCAGCTGTGTTAGGTCATGTGATACTTCACCCACAGTCAACTTGATTTCACTCAACAGGTCTGGCAGACTGGAGGAATGAAAAAAAAAGCAATACAAAACAAAAAGAGTGCAGCAAACGCAACCAGTAGTATCGTGATGGACAACCATCAATTCTTGGTGGCAGGGGACGAGGGAAGAGAAATATATTTTTCCTGGCCAATCAGAAGCCGGAGATTGAAATGCTTCTTGAAATTGTTCAGGGGGGCTCCCCCGTTCTTGCCGTTGTCCTGACCGACTAGTTTCCACAGAGTCTCTGCGAAGGGTGGAGAAGTAAGACCTTTTGTTTTTTTTTTCGGACCAGTAGCAGTGAAGAGGTGCGCACTATCATCACCAGACTGACCGATACAAAACTTGGCGATTGGTCTGCGCTAGTTAATATCGACATTATTTGTTCGCGCTTGCAGAGGGTACGCTCGCGACATGAAAGGCTTAGATTTCTAAATCAGATTTTCAAATTGCAGCAGACCAGAAAACAATAGACAAGAGAGTCTCCAACTTACGTTCGGAACAGCTTGTCCAACACGATTCGTCTCCTGATGGTTGTTTGTGATTTGAAGTCAATCGGTGGCAGAACACAAACGGGTTCCTAGAGGGAAAAAAAAGGAATTGGAATTTCTCGTGGTGACAGTCGCAGTTGCACACTTGTTCCAACAGTAGCCTATGGTATTACCTTTTAAAAGAACTAGCAACTGACAGTAAAATATTAGAGAAAAATACATCTTGATTCATGAAAGATAACATTTCTTAGTATGTCTCTGTAACACAATGTTCATCTTATTTATTTATTAATTTGTTGTTACCGCGGCCTTGCCGTGCAGGTCAGATCTTAATTTTAAAAGGAGCTACACTGTATGTCGAGCAATTTGACCAAATTCACTAATAGGTAATTGGCCACCAAACTAATTAGAAAATAAAAAATGCTGTCCTATTTTTTTTAATTACACAATAAATAAAAACCCATAAAACAGAAGAAGATAACAGGTGTCTTCGAAAACTGTTCAGCTTGTCAAGTTTTTTTATTTAAAGATTTATTTCTCTAAATTATTATGCTCGAGAAAAATTCGTTTGTCATTGAGCTATGGTTTCAAAAAAAGATCTAAAACAATACATAAACAAAACAGCTACATGTACATGACAAGAATATACTTATTATTATTATTACTACTTCTGAGCCCTGTCACACCTTATTGTATCTCTCTTTTATGGTGATATCTTCATCGCTCAGATTACTCGATGTTTTCTCAGTATCTGAATCTGAGTCATAATCCTTCTTAACGTTGACCACCGGCTGAAAGAACCGAGTAGCTCTCGCTATGTCTGAATCTGAATAAAAAATGGTATGTTGTAGAACAATCTGGTGAAATTATGTGGTACATTCCAGTATTAGGATAGAGTGCCAGAGCTCTCACGGGTTGCAATGGCCTCGGAACTTTTTTTTGGCAGCAAGTAAGCGGTTTCCCTCAGAAATCCAGTTGTGATACCCTAATTTCCGTAAATTTTCTTAATTTTAATTCCTAAGTTAGTCTGAAAATAAACAAAAAATCCTTGACTCTTACATATAGGGTTAGAGTCCCTCCACACATTTTGAATAGTCTAGCTTAGAGCCACAACGATGTATAGTTGACTCAATCAAGAACGCATTACGCGTCTTTAATAAAATTGTACATAATAGGCGGGATTCGCAGGTAAACTGATTACTGCTGTATATCATTTTCACGGCAACAATGCTTTTTCTTTGGTGCAACAATTCACATCCCCTCAAGGTAAAATTGAATCACGCACAGTAATAAATTGGTTTTAACTTTGGCCGAACATCAAGTCAAACCAAAGTTTAAACTTCGTCGGACATGGGCAAATGTGCGTCATGGACAAAGTGTCGTTAGCCAAAGAAACTTCCCATACGCTAAAGGAATGTTTCAACAAGCTCCTCCTACCTCTTTCTCCTTCGTCTGGTGATCTAGTCTCTGTCATTGTTTTATCATCTGAGAGGCCCAAATACTCAAGCGTTGAATGCGTACACCATTCTTGAAACACGGTTTGCACAGATTGAATGATAGTTTCTCTACTGTGATGGGAGTCATTTCTTACGACATGCCTTCTTACTTTCTCTGAAGAAAATGTTCTGTTTTCCGCACTAGATTCTTTGTTATCCTCATTTTTCCATGAACGAGCTGTCTTACTACCATCAATATCACAAACAGAGTATCCTGGATTTAAGTTTTCAGAGTTATTATCCTTTTTCAAGTCTTGATTGTCGTCTGTAAGTTTGTTTTCATAAAGTTTACTTCCCTCACTTTGGTCTTCAGTATTGATTGAAGGAAAATCATCCTGGTCGGAATCTTCCAAGCGTTCGCCTCCGTTCCCATCACTAAAAACAAAGCAAACCCAATAACAATTAAGCTAATGTTCACTGACAGGTCGGTATGATTGACACAGTAGGCACTGGACTGGTTTACGCAATATAGTAATCACATCTGTGACACACTGTAATAATAATAATAATAATAATAATAATAATAATAATAATAATAATAATAATAATAATAATAATAATAATAATAATAATATAATAATAATAGCAGCAGCAGCAGCAGTAGTAGTAGTAGTAGTGTTAGTGGTAGTGGTACTGTACCCTGATCCTCGCTAGACATTAGGACAAGTTGTTGTGGGAGTCACTTCGTCAAGATACTGAAGGTTACATGTAATTCACAGTGGGGATTTAATGCAAATGAGCTTAGTCCATTTCTCAGAACCTTCGAGGCAGACGCTGTTTGCACTAAAGCATGCATGGTAACCACACTTTAGGATAACTGCACTAGAAATCTTTGGCCTGTGGGTTAAAACATACACTGCACCATATGCTAACAAAAACAGGACTCTTTTTATCATTTAATATATTGTAATCTCTACCATGAGGCACAACAGAAAACCACACCATGATCAACGCCACGTCATGATTTGTGTATGCTTTCTTTGTATATCACAGACAATATAAACATTATAATGTACATTAGAATAAGGCATATTCACCTGACATTTTCTTGCTCTTCATCCTCTCCCAGCAAAACGTTGCCAGCACCAGTTCTATCAAAATCAGAGGTCAGGATGATCAACATTCAGTCTAGCTGACTACCAGGCCGGCAGTGAGTATTGTACGTTTAGTTTATCTGAGTTTAACGCATTTGCCTGCAAATAGCGAGAGCTAGACAAGGCAGGTGGAGTAGAAAGGTTACAGCAATCATTAGCGGTGGTTAGCTCGAAAGCTAAGCTCCTCTGACCACCGTACACTTCTACCTAAGCCATTAATTTTCTTCTTTTTTTTCCCTTCTTCTTCTCCTTCATTAGTGTATTCCTACCTTTAATACTATATATAATGTAAATATTTTATAAAGTGTGAATAATAAAATTGAATTGAATTAACAAAAGAAACTGAAACAAACCTTACCCACCAGAGCTATCTTCACTCTCCAATAAACTAAACACTTTCGGACTAAGAAAACAAAATTTAAATTACTATTAAATACACGTACATCAAAGTTTAGTTGAGACATGTTTTTGCTGATATCTGTGAAGGCTCGGAAAAATATGCATGTAAAGCTTCGAAAGTGTGTGAAGGTCTTTAAGTGCATATAACCTACCACAACCCATTTGTAACTGAATGATTTGCTCATTCAATTTTGCAACTATTATGCAAAACAGGGCCACTAGCCAGAAGCAAGACAAGGCACTTGAATCAGCCAGATTTTAACCCAAATCAGATCTTCTCTATTGCCAAAAGTCTGAATAAGGTCTCCTACATATAGGGGTAAGGAAACCATGCCTGCAGGACAATGAAAGGCACACTTGAAAAAAATCCAAATTGTTATTGCAAGGAACATTTTACAACAATACCTTAAAAAAGCTAAAGGTAAATTGACTAAAATGACAAGTGCCTTAATTAGGACAAACATTAGAAGCTCATCATAAGCATTGATTTTCTTAAGGCTATATTCAACGTAAATTGCCACCATACCTTTCATCAATCCTGGTCCAGACAGGAGAATCTGAAATTTGTGATCCAAAATATTTTGATGCTTTAAAACAGAAGTTGCTGCAAAAGCACTGTTACAGAAAACCAACAAGTCAATTCAATGGCATTTCAGAAAATCAAAAGAATTATATTTTACTCTTAGCCAAGGAAGTTTTTCCCCTGAAGAGTTATTGAGACAGACGTTCCTGCTCATGTACACTATGTACTATTTTTTGAGATTTTTGTTAGTGTTACATTTCACTCTTTGATCTGAAAAAAATTACAACAGTAAAAAAAGGACAAAGTCAAGGGAGTGGCAGGGGTGCCACCACAACTGTAGACCATTTTCAGTAGGGGTGTTGCCCCCAGAAAATAAAGAATTGTTTATTTGTTTGGTGAACTAAATGTACAGGAAACCTTTCTGGTTTGATATGTGTTCCTGTTCATGACAGCAAGCTGCACAATGCTAAGAGAAATTATAGGCAACATTTAAAGATAGGAAATAAAATGTACAGTATTGTCCACTGGATCAAGTAGGAAAGAAGTTGACAGTGTGTTAATCAAAACAATCAATTAGCTCCACTGAGTTTCTACCGATTTTGTTAAATGGCAGTACACAGCACACGTTTCTACAAGGAATAGACTGCTAAATCATAGTATGATAAAAGTAAAAACTCACCTTTCTTTCAGTAATATCATAGACTCTATTTGTTTGCAACGAGATTTTATATTTTTGAGATGGAATCTAAAAACAATTCAAACAAAATATCACAGGGCTTTAATACATGTAATACAAAACATTTGCTTATGCTATTTGTGTCACAATAGAAGAAAACAGGGAATAGGATCCCCCATTTTTTAAAATAATAATTTTCTACTTTTAATACACCATATACACTGTCCCTCTGTCCTGTTATGCATGTAACTTCTCTCATTATTCAAATGAGTGTTTTCTCTACATGCAGTACAAAATCAAAATCATTTTTTAAATGAACAATGACAAAATAATATGCAAAATCTTGTTGTACACTGACTCTTCTTAGGTTTCTTTAACCCACTCACTCCCAAATATGACAGAAACTAATTATCCCTGATAACCTCAATTTTTTTCTGGAACAAACGGACTAAGATAAAGCACTGCTTACAAATTTAAGTAGGCTTTTGTTTGGATGGTCACAACAATGATTTTGCTAGCCCATCATATATTCTAGACAAAGTGTAAAATATCATTATTTTTCTTCTTCAATTCATATTTTTCAAGTCGACTGAGAATGACTTGTATATAATAATCTTTATGACTCCAGGTTTGATGTGGTTTATATGCACAGAAATAGACACTTAACATACTTGAATACATGTGTATACAAGAAATAGAGAAGCATTTCATTCCAGTATATGTGCAGGAGGCAAAATCTGTTCTTGGGTTAAAAAGCCAGTATTCAACCTAGTTTGCTTCCCACTTTTCTTAGCTTCCTGGCTGTAAATTATTCATATGAGACAAGAGAAATTCTGTAATAAGAGAATAGAGATTTTACCTACTGTCAACATAATTATGCTTTAATCACTGCTTCATAAAAGGCTCTTTGCGTTATTATAGATGTATCTCCAGAGAAAACAGACAATTAAGGTTTTGCAAAGCCACCAATCGTTTGGCTTTTGAAATGAGGTCTAAACTAAGAACAGCTGCAGAAATTCTACACTGATGATGTTTCACTACCTAGACCTTAATAGTGCTTCTGATTGGCTGAAGCAAATTACCCTTGCAGTCTGACCCATCAGAAGCACTGGCCAGAACTGGGTGGTGACACGTCATCAGTATGGAATTTCTGCAGTCATTCTTCAGATGTTGTTTTGTGAATAAGCCAGTGGAAGCATTGCAAAATGTTGGCCATTAGCTCAGGCTGCCTAATAGATAAACTATGTTTTCATTTAGCACCAACAACAGCTGATGAAAACCATTGACTACTTTAATTGGAAATTCTTTCAAATTGTGCTCATAGACTATGGTGTAGCTTCCTAATTCAAATCTTACTGAAAGCCCTGGGTGTACCAGCACTCACCTTACTCAGATGATTCTTGCATAAGGGGTAACCACATTTTTGGGCTATCATTCTTTCTTCGACCACATCTGCATAATGGCTGGTGGTGATAAAGTTGCCCTACAACAAGGATCCAACTTAAGTCAATGTCTAAGGTTATTTACTTTGAGGCAACGTCAGTGTTGCAATTATATCTGGGGAAAACTGGCCTGAGAATTACAGCCTACCTAACCAGTGGAAAAAAGTTAAGATTTACATAAATGTACATAACACACATTTATAATTGCACATTGAACCTGCCAACTTTTTCTGAGTCAAATGAGTGAGATTTTCGCCTTGTCATGACCGGGATTTCCGAAAATGTTCCAGCAACTTCTGAAGATTTCCGACAATTTTCCAAAGATTGCTGAACATTGCCAAAAATGTCCAAAGATGTTCCGATGAATTTCGAGCACTTCTGAAGCTATTTAAAAGACAACAATTTTAGCGTGTTTTAATTTTGTTAGAGCACAAAGTCATCATTCAATGCCTTTTTGGAACATTTTCGTGGAAGTGAATTGAACTTTCATTATTACCTGGGTAAAAAGAATGCGCATGAGCCAAAGGCCCAAATGGCCAGAGCGTATCCTGGTTTCCTTAGCATGAAGCATGGCAAGGAGAATTGCTACTCCCCCCTGGATGGGATGCTAGTCCATTGTAGGGTTATCCCCCAGAAGTATGTCGCCGGTACCCATTTATACACCTGGGTGAAGAGAGACAAAGTGGAGCAAAGTTCCTTGTCTAAGGAAACAATGCACAGGGAAAGACTTGAGGCCTGGATCTCCAGATCCAGAGTTCGGGGTGTTAACCACTTAGCCACACAGTCTTCAAAAAACAATTCACCTGGATTTGTGAGTCAAGCGTGAGAAATTGTCCTTGACGTGTGACATCAATGTGTTCAGTATGCAGGCATGAGACTCAAGCATAACATGTGAGACTTGGCAGGTACAGTGTATATAATAACAAAAAAACCAGTTGATTCTTTCTTTTTTCTTCTAACAAAATCGCCTGTTGCCCAGGATAATAAGTCATACTGATAAACAATTTTTTGCATTGTAAATTACTCAGCCAAATCAGTGTTTCTAATGAGAAAGAAAATAAAGCTAGTGTTGCTTGTTTTTAGATATTTTTAACATGTTGAACACAGAGGGCTGATAAGTTGGGAGGGGGGGGGGGGGGGGGGGGAAGGGCCCAACTTTAAGAATTCTGTTATTTTTTTGTTAAATTCAAATATTTTTTTGAAAGGGGAAGAGTTAATTTAAAATATCACATTTTGAAACTCACTGACTGTAGAAGAAATTCCTCTGAGATTTCATCCTCAAGAACAAGTTTCTCTACAATTTTATGAGCTCTCTCTTCAGCAGCCACTTGTGAACGAATTGAAGCTTCAAGATCTTTTAGCCTGAAAATATAGACTGATACATGTACTAAGAATTTTCACAAAAAAGTACTGGTATAACTACTGGCTCGGTGGCTCGGTGGTCCTGACTGACGAGCCACCAAGCCGCCGAGCCACTAAAATATATGCCTTTACTTGCTCTTTAAATTCACACTTTTACGGGCAAACCAAAACAAGGCTCTCACCTTTTTTGTTCCGCTTGTATTTTCTCTTTGTATCCAGGTCTTTTTGATCGGGAAGGCTCTGAAAGGAAATAAATAAAACAGAAATTTTCGAGCAAGAGATAAAACCCTTTAATTTCTTTCAGTAAAAACAACGTACTTTTCTTTCCGGCTTGATTCAGCTGGGGTGATTTGTTTTCCACATTTTCCTGCATCATGTCCTCTGCCATGTTGCTCAAGTAACTACGTTGTGTATGAGCAGCCAAGGGTCTACATGGCTTTGAGACCGCTGACTAACCCCGAGTGCATTGCGAGCGGGGGCAAACTTCCCAGAAGGAAGGCCTAAACAGCAAAATTAAAGGATCCCTGAAGAGACAGGAAACTATTAAAATCAAACTGAGTGGAGATCTAACCGTATTGGAAAGAGACTTAAAAGTGAACTTCACTCATACCATCCTAAATGAAAAAGAAAATGACATGAGTGAAAAGGGCAAACTATGTGCTTGGGATTATCCAATCAACAGAGAATCTGGCAGATATTAAAACTGAAATGGCCCACTTAAAGAAAATTGAGGTTGACAATGTAAAATACAAGACCGGAATACAGCCATGATGAAACAAAAATAAAACCTGGACTGTCACTGAGGCATTGTAGGGCGGCAAGGACATGCGAGGAAATTACTAACTATTCAAGACCAAAGCAATATATTTTATTTTATTTTATTTTATTTATTTTATTAGCTTTGCCCTGAAGAATACAGAAAAAAAAATGAAGATATGCGAACTTTAGTAATAAGAACGTAACAATACACTAATAATAACTTAAATATTTGGGCAGGGACACCGCAACAGCTAAAGCCAATTACTGCTGTAAATCAAGCCCACTGTGTGATTTTATTCCCATTGATCATGCAATCGTTGACACCCTATACTCTTGAAGATTTCTGACAGTTGTTTTAATGGAGCTCCTGATCAGGGAACTAAAGAGCCAGTATGCTGTTGATATAATGCCAAAACTTTTTCCAGTTTTTTTTTTGCATCCTTGGACAGTGGCTTTGGCAAAATATTTGGTCAAATCGTCTCCATTAGAGTAAATAGACTTAAGCGATTCAAATATGGTATCGTCATGCAAATAACGCCGAAAAAACCTCACTTCCAGTTGACGTGCACCGCTCCCGCAATATAATAGCCTGCGTAGCAGGCACTAGGAAATAAATGGGCGCAAGAAAAAACGCGCGCGCGAGAAGGAGCGCCTGCTACGCAGGCTAGCAATATAACACTGAACCCTTTTCCTTAAAAGTTGCGGAATTGGAGATGTTGCATGGCTGAATATCTTGTAACCGTACTGATATATCTATCACTGAAGCAGTTTTATATGTAGACAGGTTTGTCTTTTGAGAAAGCCGTATTTTTAATAGCGCGATGATAGACGTAACACCTTGCTGCCGATTGGAGAAAGGCTGACAACCTATGGTTCCGAGTCGGATATTTATACTCACGCTACACCCAAAATTGCGCCGCTTCTTCAAACTTGTAAAATAGGTATCTAAACTTCATGCGCACCATTCATAGTCTTCATGTTCTTGATTAAAAGGGAGCAGAAACTAAGCAAAGCATTCACTGTCCAGGCCTATTAAAAAAAAGAAAACTCTTTTCCGGTCTTTTTCAACTAATGTCTTCTCGGTCCGAACAACAACAACATTAGCTTTATTTGCATGACTATAATTATGTAGTTACAGTATTGCAAAAGCTTTAACATAAAGTTACAATTCATAACAATGATAATGCAATGCAATGATTACTACGGGTCTTTTTCGAGAGGAAGGAAGAAAACTGTTAGTGCTCGTTTATTGTACTCATGTAAGTGTACATGTATTTAGATTTATACATTGCTGAGTCAGTGGAGTATCGAATCAGCTGCTTTGAAAAATAATTAAAAAACAGGGTAAGTTTGGATCTTGTGCACGTGTCTTCACTCGCCAGACTGTACCGAGAATAGCATATTCCTTGCAGCGGATGAATTCACAAATGCTCACTCATTGCAGTGTCATCGACCAGAAACGTGAGTGAAAACTCTCAAAGAAATGAGCCGTTTATGGAAGTAAAACTTTAAGAGGCAATCTCTGTAATGGGACACAGGAGCACGCACTCTCTGAAAGCACCGTCCGCGAGATAATAATGCTGATTCCTTTGGTGGGGTCTTTGGTCTATATCAGTCAACGGTACCCACAAATAAGTGCCCTGCCCTGCCTTTTGACTTGGTTCTCATAATTGCGTAACTCAGTGAGCGTGAGGCTCACACGTGAGGCAGACCAACACGCATGTTCCAGACACGGGCGTGTGCGAGAGACGTCCGTTTATGTCATGACATAGTTTTTCCCTTCCATTCTCTAAAAGTTATTTTCTATTTTGTCTCATCTAGCTAGGACAAGACACTGTAAAATTGGTGACACAAACAACTGAATTCGTAAGCAAGATTGCACTTAAACATGGGTCACAATGGACTGGTATGGTATCCCAGCGGTACTTCCCCCCCCCCCACCCACCACAAATTCATAGATCTCCGGGCCCGGGTCCCCGGGCAGGTAGCTTAGTAAAGTCAAAGGATTGAATAATAAGAATACATTTTGGTGGTAATTAGTTTCATAAGGGGATTTCTATTCTGTATTTTTGCTGGCAGTTTCATTCATCAGTGATGAAACTTTTGCCTCTTGCATGTTTTCAGCCTCAGCAGGAGAGGGGGGCCAACATAACAACAGATTTGTCACTTGATCCCACAGGTAGCCCAAGCTCTGTGTCTATTGACCTTTGTAACGTATTAAATCTGAGCGTCGAGATATATACATTGCGTAATCTGAGTGAAAATGGAAGGATTTACTGTATAGGGGAGAAATAAACGATTCTCGTGGTAAAATTAAATAAGTTATTGTCATTCTTCTTCAATAAATTTCACTTACCTTTTAGTCCTCTGTTTGTATTTTTGTCTGTTCTACTGGTTTCGCTTTACATAACATCACAAATAGACCTTGGGCTACCTGTGTTGATTAACTGCAAAGTCATCTGGCAATTCTCCAGTCGTGGTAAACTGAAACCCGGTGAAACGTGACTAATTTTTCTATAAAGGCAGGACCCTTTGCAGAGCTGGTAAGCTTAGAAAAAGACTGTAGCTGAGCTAAGTGGAGAACCAAGAACTTGCAGAGGACAGATCATTTCAATATCTGCTTGAAGGTGAGTGTCCTTTGTTTTCCATCTGTTTTTAAGCAATACCATATATATAAGCTCTGAAAAGATTTTTCATGTCACCCTTGCTTTGCTTACATGTACATACAAATGCTGATTCAGGTATTTTTAAAGCGTGTACTGGTGGAAAATTAACCTTAGAAAGTGCCCGTTTTTTAAGAAAATGGACGTGAATATCATGCGCCATGCCATACTTTCCTTTATTGTTCGCGTTTTTTTGCAACCGTCAACGGGTGTCTCGAAAGCCATTAAGGCCAAAGAACCAAGACCCTGTTAGTTGTTACGAGTTAAAATGCAGCGTTTGAATTATATAACAGCTAAGAGAATGGTTTATTTGAAGAAGTTAAAATTGAAAATTTTAAGAGCGCAAGTGTTTTTTTTTTATGTAATGGGGTAACGGGTTTCATTACCTTGTTATACAGTGCTATATGGCACTTTATAGTGAAAACTCCTTTGCTCTTCGTATCTGTTTGCAAACAAAAACTAGCGAATAACCATGCATGAAAGTCATGTCGGCTTTAACACCTAACTAAAATATTACGTAACAAAATGTTGATGCTTAGGCTTCTGTTTCATAAAGCCAACTTGTATCTTCAAGTTGTTGCTGAGAAATTCTCTCATTTTAAGACCTTTTTAAGGTCTGCTGATTGTATGGTTGAAGATGCGCTTCCATGCTTCGCGCTCTTTTTCTTGCTTCAGGGTAAGTTTTCGGGAATACCGGATCTACCCCGAAGACCCCGAAGCGCAAAGTAGCTCAAAGTCCTAAAAAAAAATTGCAAAGAATTCTAAAAATATAGAGCTCCAGACATGCAATCTGCATGCAATTATGCATTTTCTTGGGGTGGGATGGAGAGGGGGGTGAAACTGAAAAAAAAAATACAGTCTCCTTTGTCTATTTCCATTTTATATGGCATTTACTTGTCATCTAAATTGTTGCATCGAAGCTGTTTTCGAGGAAATTGATTCTCACGCGTTTTATTATTATTGTCATTTTAGATGAAGCTGTTCCTTGTACTTTCCGTTGTCTTTTTGGTTTCTGCTGATGCGAGACCTCGAGGTGGTTCATGGCTTGGAAAAATCACATACCACTTCAAGGGTTTACTGTCCGCGACTAAAGAAATGGCGTGCGAAAGTGAATGGCTTCCTTTGAAGAATTTTCTTTCATGCGAATCCTCGGGTCCTTATTCATTCTGTAACGGTTATGACTGCCCTGAATTCGATGAAAAGAAACTTAACGTCTCTGGCAAAATAGTTGAAGATTACACTCTGCGCTGTTATTACAAACCCTACAAATGGGTGTCAACAAGTTACAATGGTAATTATGATTATAAAGAACTGTTAATAGTTATAATAGAACTTGGGTATACAACATTCAGCTGAAAGATAGAAATTAAAGAAGGCTCAGACACTTATACGCTGACGAAGCTATCCCTGGCAAACGTTTTTGAAAAACAAAAGGTTTCTTATCTTGTAGCAGACAGGAGCTGTCGGTAGTTTAAAGGTTCAACACTTTGCAAGGGCCCAGTTTGTACTTTAGCTTTAGGTACCTTAAAAAAGGACCCCAACAGGAAAACAGATAGGAACCTATTTAAAGCGAGAATGTACATGAAAATGTGCTCCTCGAAGGCCACACCCTATCGGCATGCACATCAGTTATTCGGTGATAGGGGTTGGGGTGGGGGCTCTTCATCCCTTCTCCAGGGATTCACGATAAAACTACATTTTGTCTGACATTTTGTAAATATGTTTCTCGATTCATACAGAAAGAAGAACCGACAAATCGGAAGCTTTCATGCGTCTCTTCAGATATATCTCTGGTAGTAACAAGGAGGAGATGAAGATCAAAATGACAGTTCCAGTAACAATGCAAATGCAGCCCGACGAAGCGTCCGACTCCTTCTGCAAAGAAAACTACACCATGAGCTTCTTCATCCCGTTCAAGCATCAGATAGACGCACCTGCAGCAACTGAAGAAAACGTCCGTTTGGAA